TGATATTAAGGAATACTTCAGAGTACATTTATTTATAATTATTTATCATAATAGTTAATCTTCACTTTAATATAACGAACGGGATCACCGTGAATATAATGTATTTGGGAGTATCCGTTAATGCACATTGATATATTAATAAGTTGAATATAAATAAAAATAAATGATTTAAAGGGAATTCATTGTGTACACGAACGAACTGCGCATAATAATGTAAGACTGCGGAATAAATTATTTATACAATGTTTGCGGATCATGTAAATTAATTTTATATATAAACCAAACATCAAGCAAGTTGGTCAACTCAATTTTTTTTACCCTATCTAATGGAAACATTTACATTTCGAGAATTATTTGGCGGGGCAATCACCACCCTTATCCCCGAAAATTTTGCTGACATCAGGTAAACCGATGATCACGATTTTTATTATACGAACCTCTCTCTTTTTATTATATTATATCTTGTTCGATTTTCCCTAAACGCAATTTACCAAAAAGTGATGTTAGAGAGGTCCCAGATAATCAAGAGGTTTATGCAAATGCAGATACGGATCAAAGTATCATCATTGAGATATTGCAATACGTTCATTCGAGCTCAGATGAGGATGCTGTCAGGTGTAGTGTCTAGTAGTGAACATAAATTATTTCCCACTGAATTTATTTGTTGTCGTTCCTATAGACATCACTTTATGTCCGTAGCAGCCGATAATGATGCGGAGGAGTACAGCAGTATACAGGCAATTGTTCAATTGACTGCTCAGGATATTCCCAAACTTCCGTGTGTATCATAATTCCATTTTCTAATGATCACTGCTAGAAAGATAAACTGGGGTAATCAAATTTTGACCTTTGACATTAAATATAGTCCAGAAACGCCAAAATACTTATTATCCGGACAGCAATCGGTCTCAAAATTCCATGAGTCAGATCCTAATGCTAGGAATTTGGTTAACATATTTTTGGCATTGATCAGACTTCCAAGTTATGGTACGGACATCGCGATCACCTACAACATACCATTACTAATTGGAGCTACCAGTAGCAGTAGGCAGACTGCTCAAGAAGGAGATTTGGTTGAAGGGTTGGGGGTATTCAAGAGGGTGTTGGCTGAATTTGAGATTAGAGATTGGGAATTATTTAATGGTTAATCTTTAATCGTTCTCGCAGATACCTTTGTCATTTCTAGCGCAGCAACATTTAAGCGAATGTATAACAATGTAGATGAAAATTTCTTAGCATAATAACTTGAAAGAATTTATTACATTATATTGAATTTGTAAATTGTAAATCTATGAAGCGGTTTTGAAACCAATTATTATATATTATGTGAGCTTTTTTTAAAGCGTCGTTATTCCGCGAATAATAGCTTTTAACACCTTAGCATGTCTTTCGGCTTTTTCACGATCCGACTGGTTGTCCAAAGCTCTGTCACCCACATCCTCCGACAAATCAACATTCCTGGACGCAGCTTTCAAGAGATAAACGAAATCGCAGAGTGTTGTGATCGGAATACCCGACCTGTTCGCGGTCAAAGTGTCCTGCAACCGAGAAGTTTGTTCGAATTTTGCTGCAACTATTTCTGCACGGTCGACAATCTGACGGGGAACTCCCGCCATGTTTGCTACATTCATTCCATATGATTTGGGACAAACACCGGGGACCAATTTGTATAAAAAGGTCACTTCCTTTCGATCCTGATCAACCTGACAGCTCATATGTTTAAGCGCGATGTTAGGATTCTTGGAAAATTCTTGGGTGAGCATAACATAATGCGTAGAGAATAGACCCAGGCACCCGATGTGAGTTGCTAAATAATGCAAAACGGAATATGCAATGGCATATCCGTCAAATGTCGAAGTCCCTCGACCTAGTTCATCAAGAATGACCATAGATCGCGGTGTAGCTTCGTGTAGAATCTTTGATGTTTCGCTCAATTCTACCATGAACGTACTTTGACCGGCTAAGATATTATCGTTAGCACCGATGCGCGTGTAGATCCTGTCGAAAGGTGTCATAAGGCATCTCCTTGCGGGAACATAGCAACCAAGTTGTGCCATGATAATTGCGATGCAATTCTAATAAGAGATGTGAGTTAGATTAAAAAAAAGGTTAAAATACTTAAGAGTCCATGGAAAAATACATCGTTCAAACAAACCTGTCTCAAAAGCGTGGATTTACCACCCATATTAGGTCCCGTCAATAATATGATGTTTGGTTGATCGCCACCCACAAAAGTGTCATTGGGTATGAAATCGTTGGCCACACTTATTTTGACATTTAATGCAGAAACCGTTAGAAAGAATGGAGACAGGCAGTCATATATTTTATTCTTTGAAGCTGCTTACCCCGAGATGATACAAGGATGCCTAAGTTCCTCAAATTCTAATACACTAGGGCCCTGTAACACAAATTGAGGTCGACAGCACGGTTCTAAACAACGAAACATTAATTCTTAGATCAATTACAGACCACCTCAAGATTCTTATATCTTAATCTACCTACCACCCAACGCCGATGAACTTTTGGCCAAACTCAACAGACAATCAAGTTCTGCGATAAATTTGACCGCCCGCAACCATTCGTGATAGCAAGCATCAAATTTCTCATAGAATCTTCCTTTGATGGATTTTAAAATTCCAGATTCCACTTCTTGAGCTTCCTGTAAATCTCTGATAAGTTTCTGAAGTGTTGGATTCCAATAACGATTGACTTTCTAAAAGATACGATCGTGCAATAGATGTTCAGGAATTTAATCGCGCAAAAAACGGCATCCATTATACAAATTACCTGTGTACGTGACAATTTTCTCCAATCATCTGGAACCTTTATTGTGTTAGGAACTTCAAGCTGATATATTTCCTTGCCCACATCTTTGTATACAATTTTTGTTGTCCTAAGAAATCACAAAAAATATTTAACTCGCATAAAAAATCCGATTAATAAATCTTTAAGCTTGCTTACTTTAATTTTCTATTCGCTTCTGCCAAGTGATCGGCAAGCTGCTTATCAATTGCACGAAGATTATCCTTTATTTCATCATAATCCTTTTCGATACCAGGGTAGGGAATCAAATGACCTAAAAGAATTTTTCCAGCGAGTCAGACGAGCACGACCCTTTTTCACGTTTCTTCTTATTTGAATTTTACCTTCGTTTTCTGCTTTCTGACGGTCAAAAGCATCCTTGAAATATTGAAGCATTGGCTTCAAATCAGGAACATAGTCAAACAATTTAAGCAGCTTTTTTGACTTGAATTGACTCGTAAAACCACTGAGGTTCGCAACTGCCTTCTGTATACGAAATAAAATGTGTAAATTTAATGAAGCCCCACAACATTATTATGACCGTTATTTAATTATCTGAAGTTCCAACCATTAAATTTTCGAAAGCCGTCAGCACAAGCAAAAAATCTTTCACTTTGCAAGTTTTTGCATGAATTCTACTGATCAAACGTTCGAGATCAGGAAAATGGGAAAAGATAGTGCAAAATGATTCCTGAAACGCAGGAATCAAATTTAATTCTTCGACCGCGTCCAAACGTTCATTGATTGCGTCAACGTTACGAAGCGGATGGCACAACCACCGTTTAAAGGTACGTTTTCCTAATATGATATTGCAATGTCAGTCTCACACGTGTCGTTTCTTTGACTTATAATCTACTTACCAAACGGAGTTATGCAATGGTTTAAAAGCTTAAACACAGTTCCCCGGTCACTTCCGTCCAGACTATTCTCGAATATCTCAAGGTTCGCTAGAGTTTGACCATCAAGAATAAGAGAATTACTATGACGAATCGGGTCATATATATGAAAATTCTGGAGAGATACAAGCTCCGAGTCGAGTTTCAGCTATTCAATATACACTACGAAATTAGAAATTGACGAAAGGTCGAAAAATTTATCATGATAACAGAAAATTATTACCGATCGCAAATACCAAATGAGTCCTAAAAATATCATCGGATATTATTAAATATTTTCCATAATTGATTATTTCATTCAATTTCAAAAACTCACCGCCCAAGGCAGACATCATCAACGGTTTTTTCATAGCCTCTTTTATCGCGCAAGGCCATTTATCTAAAATTATAATTTAAAAATGTATGAGAATGATGTTCTTAAATTGTCACTAAAAAGGTCAATCGGTTAACCTGTTCCATCGTCACTTTTTGAACATTCCATTATCACGTCATCGTCAGCGTTATCATCAACTTCCATAGCATCGCGAATGTTATCCTCATCTTGAGTATAAGCTTTCTTCAGATCCTTTGAAAAGTATCGGGAAAATCTTATCTCATCACACGTTGTGCTAGCGTCCCAAAACTCAATATCTGGTCTAAGACCTGTCCAAATTGCACGATGTGTGGTATCCTTCAATATACGCTGTGATCGTTGACTGAGCTTTCCCTAATGATAAAAATATTTATGAAGGTTTCAATTCTTGGACTATACTATTAATTTTTTATCCTACCTTTTCGAATATTATTTCTTTTGGTTTAATTTGAACTATCAAAGTTTCAAATTGAGTGCGATCTATGTCATCAACAAAAGATGTGAGGTGAAACTCCGCGGTCGCAGTATCGACAAAGCAGATTCCGAAAGCAGGGGGGGCACCCTCGGAATGACATTCTTCCTATATACCAAAGATCCTTTAGCATCGGTACAAAATATCTTATCCTTAAGAATACTCATATGAGATATCAGTGAAAGATTGAACCTTAATTGACATGCAATAAGTTGACATATCATTAGTCAGCAATCCCCCATCCACGATAGTACCAGCAGTTAGAATAGATGTCAATTCACGTCGGATGACTTTATCTTCCTGTAATTGAGAAATGTTAAAATCCGCATGCACACATTTAGAAAATACGCTTGTCAAATACACGATTCTCGCCTTTTTATTATTAGATTTCTCTCGCATCTCCTTTCCTATGGCTGTTTCCATTTGATCCACTCTTGCAACCTTATATCTATACATCGAATAAAATAATGTTAAAATATGTGATGCCTTTTTTTACGCATTCGCAATAGAGATTCAAATTTTATACCCTTTAGCAATAAATTGTGCAGCCCAGGATTCAAATGCCATCTCGGGTACGCCGACCATACGCATGTTGACACGATCTGTAAGCTTAAGATCAAACTCCGTATGGCCAATATCGGCATCCCGTTCATATAGTTCTTAATAAGTAAACAACATTCAGTTAAAATATGAAAGTCCATAAGAAAGCCGAGAAGATTTCATGAATTTAGTATGCAAGTACCATAAAACTTTCCTTTTTTGAAGAAGACAACCTATTTTTTAATTTCAGTAACAAATCAGTTAGAATGTTAAACTATATTGAAAATTTTATATTATTGTCGCAAACCGTATCCCAATGTTGTGACTTGATTTCCCAGAATTGTTTTTCGAATGGCGTGAATCTATCCCAGGCTGATTTGGGAATGTACAACGTCCGAGGATCATAACCAGGAGATCCTTTTGAGAAATGTAAATTAAAAACCACTGAAGACTTGAACTCTACAACACATTTCAGATAGGAAGCTCACCTTCCGGATTTCCATCTGCGTCCTTGACGTTAAGTAACCATTGATATCGTTCCTCATTTTTTGCTTTAAAATCAGCAGCACGTTGCTATCATTTGATAGAAAATGAAAATTCTAAGAATTTATCGCGTCCGTAGGAAACAACTCATCCTAAAAGTTACCTTTTTTTTTTCGAAATCGGTCATAAGGCTTGAAGGCAAAAATGATGTTCCACGGCGTGTATTTGTGGCAGCAGCGAAGGTCTATTTAATATCACTTGATTGTAATTATTCAAATTTCTTTTGACAACTCATTTTACAATCAAAAGCAATAAAAACCTTTAGTTTATCTTGTGCGCTAATTAAAGATCCCGAGGTAGCCGAGACTTGTTTTTTGGATCGATTAGATCGCTTGGGTTTATTGTACTCTTCGTCTTCACAATTACTCTCATTTTGAACAACATCACTCATTGCTAATGTACATCAATATGTGTTTATGAACAAATCTTTTTAAACTTATACTAAATGACGAATATAATATATTTACCGGCTCCGTCGCTTTCTTCATCCATACGAGAGTCACAGACAAATTCATCATCCCCATTTTGCTTTTTGCGTGGTTTCTTTTGCGCTGTGATTTGAATAAAGTAGATTAAATTATGACTACCATAAGGGTTACCATTGTAATTTAATATGTGACGTACTCAGGATATCGTCGTCCTCTTCTTCCTCCGATGAGACATATATTCTGCGTTTGACCCTTTTCTATACAGTTAAAAAATAGTGTAATGAAAAAGAACACTTAAAGCTTATACGTTTCCATGCTTCAAAAAAACGTACTCGAAGAGTCCTCCTTCCAAAATTTGGCTCCTCAGACTCCAAACTTTCTTCCTCTATGTCTCCATTAGATTTTTCCAGGTTTGAACTCCTTGTGCTAGGTGTCTTTGGAGTCATTGGTATCTGCTCCTTTCCTCCGTGCCTTTCCGGTCGACTTTCTCCAGGACTTGGAGTAGGCAAACCCTTTTGAATATACGAAAATAGGGTTTTTTGCGTAGCAAATGGAGTTGAAGGTTTTTTCGACTTGACTTGAGCACTTGCATTATTAGAGTTTGAACACCCCAACTGCGTATTGACGATTTCTTTTTTTGAAAGCGGCATATCGAAGGTAAGCCGTTACGAGCAAAGAGGTTGATGTAAATTTTTACGTGTTTGTGCGCGTCGTCTCCTTGATCGATAATGTATCTTATCACATGAAGTCAGATGATCGTGTCAATATATTTTTTACAGCCACAGATGTCTGAAGTTGAATTAACTATTATTTTATATTAATTTTTTTTGTAATCTGTTATAAAGTTAATAATTAAATATGTATAAACTTTTTTTTTTTTTTTAATCGCAAACAGGCATTAAATGCGAGACTTTTATTAAACGAGAGTTTATAGCCATTACATT